TCGAGCAGAAAGACAAGGAGCAATCCTCAAGGAGGTGATCCATCGCACTGTCGTTGCCCGGATCCTTGTTGGTGGACAACCTATGAGAATGGCAGTCGCTGAGTCCATCTTCGTCAAGAATGCTCGCATCAATCATGGTGGATTTGCGCCTAGCCAGTGGGTACTTGGCAAGCTTCCCACTGAAGCTACGATGGATGCACTTGGAGCGCAAGAAGATGTCTACTCAGGAGAGTCCATCTCCCAACAGATGATCATCCGGCAAGCTGCCAAAGAAGCTTTCTCTCAGGCTGACAGCAGCCGACGTCTTCGAGCTGCCTTGCTGCGCAAGTCAACACCTCTTCGATGTCCTTACCGTCCTGGAGATCTACTTTGCTTCTTTCGTCTTGGACGATGGTATATGGCCCAGCGAGGATGATCGGACGTGAAGGCAGATCAAATGTCTGGTTGCTTCATGGAGGAGTTCCAATCACCATCAATGAAGAAAATGTACGTCCTGCCAATCCTGGCGAAGTCATCGCCAAGCAGGCCACAGAGTTGAAGCCCTCCAGAAAGAGAAAACGTGCTATCATGTCAGACAACATTCCTGAAGATGATGTTCCCTTCGGTGATGATTTGCTGCTTGCACCACCTGATGAAGAACAAGAGGAGCAAGGTGCCTACTTCGACCTAGGTGGCTCTAAACCTAGTCGTGGCTTTGGAGGAGGAGCGCCTGCAGCAGCGCCAGTGAACTTAGCGCCAGCTGCCACTGCATTAGATCCTGACCACCCAGAGACCACAACCACTCCAGATCTACCACCTGGCCTTTCAGCGCCACTTGATGCAGTACAACCGATACCTGAAGCAGCGCAACCAGAACAGCAATGTTCAAGTCGACGACGACCAGCGGAGACACCGCTTGATGCGCTGGAAACAGAACAGTACACTCCAACATCCCCACTAAGCAGAGATGCAGAATGGGATGATTTCCAAGATCTACTTGACGATCTACACATGGTTGGAGATGTCGAAGCTGACGCCCGACATCAGTCAGTTGATGAACCTGATGGAGAACATGAACCTCCACCAAGAGAAGAAGCTGTGGTATCTGAAGTCACCACACCTACTACGACGCTCTCCGGATCAACTTGATGGCATGCCTCGCCGCAAGCGATCTCGCTCTCCACGTGGTCGCTCTATGCCAAGCAGACTGCCAAGCAATCTCAACAGGCCGAACACTTCAATGGTTTCCTGGCCCGAAGAGCACCCAAGAAGAATCAGAAGAAAGGAAACAAGGAGCTGGTCTACTCCCGTGAGTCTCCTGAAGTTCAAGCTGGCATCTACAAGGCCCGCGAGAAGGAATGGGGCAACTGGACCAACTTCGATGCTTGCGATTCTTGCGATGTCCTGAACCCAGAAGTTGCTGATCAGTGCATGGCTGAGAATCCTGACGTGCAAGTTGTGCCAATGCGATGGGTCGATATTGACAAGTCTGAAGTCAACGAGGACCCCTTCTACAAGTCCCGCATTGTGGTCCGGCGACCTGGAAGTAGCAGTCAAAGATGGAGTTTGGCGCCAGAAGGGTCAAGACTACGGCGACCCTCTCTTTGAGGATAAGCCTCCGGAAGATGGAACCACCCTGGTGAAATGGATCGCCACCAAGGACATGTTGAGCGACAGTCTCACCAAGCATATGGACACCACTGATCTTCGAAAGATCATGTCCGGAGCAGCTTACATGCTTGCCCACACGTTCATGCCAAAAACAAAGACGGGCGTGAAAGTTGAGCATCCGCATGGGCCCCACATGTCACCTGAGGTATCCTAAGGCCTCCACATGTTGCCATGGAAGTGTGAGCGTGGCATGAGCGCAGAACGACCTCGCCACACACCGTGGCTCAAGCGTGGTTCAAAAAAGCGTGCGCGCTGGCTGCCTTTGTGGTTTGTTTTCACAAACTTACATTTTCAGACCCCCTCCCCCCCTCGAAAAATGTAACTTGACCCCCCCCCAGGTCATGAAGGGGGGAGGGGGTCTAAGAATGTAACATTATGTCTGCCAGGTCTATAGTTACATTTTCAGACCCCGAGACCTTGTGTGAACCATCCCTCCAACAGCCCCATGCCTATGAAAAAGATTTGCCTCGCTCCGCTTGATGTCCTACCAATCCTTTGTCACTGGACGATGCTTCGCCTCCACTGACACGGATGCATCCCTGCTAGCTTTCGTCACCTACCCTCGGCCTCAAGTTTCTCGTGGCTTCTGGCTTCTGTGGCTTTTGGCTTTGGTGGCTTTCGTTGCTTCTGTGGCTTTTTGCTTTCATGGCTTCCGTGGCCTCTGGTCTTCGTGGCTTCTGTGGCTTTTGGCTTTCTTGGCTTCCGTGGCTTCTGTGGCTTTTGTGGCGTTTGGCTTTCGTTGCTCTCGTGGCTTCTGGCTGTTTGCTACTAGTCCATCTTTGGAGGAATGTGAAGTCCAAGGCACATCTCCAACACCCGCGCCTGCCACGAAATCAATATTTTAAGGTGAACTCCCCGGTGCAAAAATTTCTAGCCAACCAAATATGCCTCCTGTGCTAGTTCTCTTTCTCTTCGCTTTTTCTCTGCTAACTGCGCCAAACTGTTGTAATAGGTAGGAATTTTTCTAACACCTACACTATTCCAATGTATTTTGCCAGCTACGACAGCTCCCGTATCTGTCTACCTATCCATATCTATCTGTCTGTCTGTCTATATCTATCTTCTCTCTCTCTCTCTGTCTGTCTGTCTGTCTGTCTGTCTCTCCATCGATCTATCTAACTCTCGATCTATCTATCTATCTATCTTTCTGTCTTTCTGTCTTTCTGTCTTCCTTTCCTTTCCTTTCCTTTCCTTTCCTTTCCTTCTTCCTTTCCTTCTTTCTTTCTTTCCTTCTTTCTTTCTTTCTTTTTTTCTTTCTTTCTTTCTCTTTGGCAGCTGTTCTCCTTTCTCTTTTTGCTTTTCCACTTGTTTGCTTTGCAGAGAAGAAAACCAAACAAGGAAGCAAGCAAGCAAGCGCGAGCTGCTCACCTTCGGATCTGGTGTGCTGCTGGGGGGGACAGCGCCCCCCCCCCAACCCTCCCCGCGCCACGAAATCTGCACCTCATTTCCAACACCCGCGCCTGCCACGAAATCAATATTTTAAGGTGAACTCCCCGGTGCAAAAATTTCTAACCAACCAAATATGCCTCCTGTGCTAGTTCTCTTTCTCTTTGCTTTTTCTCTGCTAACTGCACCAAACTGTTGTGATAGGTAGGAATTTCTCTGACACCTACACTATTCCAATGTATGTTGCCAGCTACGACAGCTCCCAAATCTGTCTATCTATCCATCTATCTGTCTATATCTATCTATCTATCTGTCTGCTATCGATCTATCTATCTCTTTCTTTCTTTTGTCTTTCTGTCTTTCTGTCTTTCTGTCTTTCCTTCCTTCCTTCCTTCCCTCCTTCCTTCCTAGCTATCTATTTTCTATCCATTTATTTGTTTATCTTTATCTGTCTATCTATCTAGCTACCTGCCACGAATTCTGCACTTCAAGGTCCACAAAGTACTGTGCCTGCCACGAAATCGGCTCTCCAAGGCCCACAAAGTCCTGCACCTGCCACGAAATCTGCACT